GCAAGCTTCTGCTTCTGGTGGGCACTGCCAGGGGCACTGCTTCTGGCGAGAGGTGACAGTTTCTTGGTTCCATATAGTGGTGATGGGGATGGAGAGGAGAGGGTTGATTCCAAAGATAAGGCTTGCAACTGTTTAGACAGAGGTGAGGATGGGATGGAAGTAGAGTGAGGGACAGTGAGAGAAGGAGTCTAAGATTATTCCCGAGTTTCTCTTCTGGATGAATTGGTGAAGGGTGATGTTATTCAATAAGATAGGAAGCATATGGTAATTAGGAAAGGATGATGGATTCATTTTTAGTTATGCTTAATTCAAAATGCCTAAGAAATGTCCATAAAAAGATATGCACCAGTCAGGCTGAAACATGAATCTATGTGGTCATCAGTCCATAGACAGTGGCAACCATGGGATGGGATAATATCAGTGTATGGAGGAGAGGAAGAGAGAGCAAGAATGAGAGCAAAAGAGATGAAAAGGTGAACCAGAAATACAGTTTATAAAATGTAATAATTAGAAGGCTTAGAAGACCCCATGAAGAAGACTAAGGAGAGGAGGAGGAACATGATCAGAAAGCAGAAATAAGAGTTTCAAGAAGGAGGGAGCAACAAACGGTGTCTCGGGCTATAGAAAGCAATGTCTTAATACTAGTGACCACCACCGCGAACTGGACACTTAAGTGCGGGCTGCTTCTAGTCCACCATCTTGCCTCAGCTTTTCTTCCTCAACTTTGTTTTATCAGATGAGGAATTTTGCCCATGAGAAAGACTGAGGTAATACTAACTATTAATATAATAACAAATAGGGTCCAAGGAGAATATTGGGTGTTTAGGATTTTTTTTTTTCTGTTTCAAGATGGACGTGCTTTATGTTGAGTAAGCCAGTAGATGGGAGTTTTATTTTACTCACATAGTGGCATACTAGAAAAAATTTATTCTCAGGGTAAAAGCTCATAGGAAAATAGCCATTATTAACTAATAATTCTGGTCCATGGCACTTACTATTACCAAGTCCTAATTTTGCCATCTACAGTTACATAAATGGTCATGTAGAACAGGCACTAATGGGGAGAAGCAGCCTTTTCTTCTATTCCCCATCAGCCCTCACTGCAGACCTCTGGTATTACTCTTGTCTCACTGCATTAAAATTATCTATTAAAATAGAGTCTCCTTAAGCAGTGTGTGCTCTGCAAAAGCAAGGACCGGTCTTTTTCATCATTTCTCCAGCTATGCCTGGAACGAAGCAGGCACTCAACAAATGTCTGAAGAGAATTAAATTTTTTAGCCAGTTTTTTCCAGTGACTTCACAAATAGCCCTCTTTAATGTGAGACATTCAGACTGAATATATTAGTCAGAGATCAAACATCAAAAACTAACCCTAAGGTAAAACAGAAAAGAAAAGATACCACGTCTCTTGGGAAGTCAATGCAAAGGCTGGAGATCAAGCTTGGAGGACAGGGCTGCTGAAATCACAAAGTGCTTAAGTCACCTACAGGGCTCTGCTGCCCTACAGGTGCCCACTGCCATTAATAAATTTCCCTTCATGTCCATTGATCTAGATTTAAGGGCAAGTGAAATGTTCTATTGACTGAGCCTAGATCTCTGTGCTCTAATCTGTGCTCTAGCCAGCAGGGGAGAGGGAGAGCGAGAAGGAGAGGGACCATCTTCCTTCCCTGCAGAAGAGGTGGCCCTGCCTCCAATCAGGACCCACGCCATGGGGATAGGCACCTAGAGAGGAAGAGGGCTTGGATCCGAGGCTGCCAAAGCAACAGAAATGTCCACTACCTTGACAGAAAGGCTTCTGACTCATTGCTCAGCAGGATAACCTTCCCTAGAATTTAGAATATAAATAAGATAGATTCCTGGCTGTCTGAAATGGTTTAGATAATAGTTCCTCCATGAGGCAGAGATAGATTGAAATACAATACATTCCCACACAGCTATCATCTTCTGAAATGCTAGAAATACCTTTCTGTCAAAGTCTTATCATAGGAAGCCTGAGAGCTGGAATCTAGAATTACATATCTTTTTTTTTTTTTTCCCCAGGCCCTTGCTACAAAGTTGGTAGGAAGATGCATTTCCTCTTTTAAGTCTAGTGTCTCCTGTTTACAACTGATACTATATGCACAGCAGTGCAGCATCTATGTATGTTTCAGGAACATGATGTGTGAAAACAGTTTTCAAAAATGCATGCTGTCTGGATAAAAAGAAAACTAAAAATATGTTTGGTCACCACTTCGTTGAGCCTATTGAATTTGGCTGTGAATGGGAATCTAATTGCCATGCATTTCCAGTGGCACCTTCCATGACCGTCACATTTCCATTAAAAAGAGAAGTCAGCTGTAGCACCCCAGTGTTCATGCAGGAATCGTAAAAATAAATAATGACCAGTTGGTTGTTTAAAAATGTATATTTCTTTTTGATAAGACCAAATAAGCAAAGCCACAGGTACAGAAAGTACCATTCCTTGTCGGCAAAGGGAAAAGGAATGTTTTTACTGAAGCGTTACAAACAGCTTCCTGGTTTTGAATGCTGACTACTGATTATTCCCCTGTTCTTCATTTATAATCAGAGAAAGTCTTCTTCATCACCTGTTCTTGTTACCATGGGACTGGCATAAAAATATTACCATTTGCAGGGCTGAATGTGAGGGCTGAGGGACCAGACTTAAACCGTACTTGTTGCAGAAAAATCCATACAATCCTCCATCCAATGGCAGGAACAAATAATGTGTTATTTTGGTAAACATGGTAACCTGATGTTCATGACCAGTACCCCTCCTCCTTCTCCTGGTTTTTCTTCTTCAGTGATTTCAATGACCATTATCCACTTGATGGGTTGGCCAGTCTGTTTTTTAATGATTTTGTATTTCTTTTGATTGAACAGTTGTTAAAGGGAAGAGTCTATTCTAGCAGTTCAGATAAGGAAATTTGCAGTGAATAAGGTAAAAGCACGCAAAGATGCCAGATGAATATTTCTAAAGCACAGCTCCAATCAACATCTCCCCTGATTAATATCTCTAATTCCTTACCTATTTAAGTCCAAAGTTCTATCCCTAAACTTTCTGGGTATTCATCCTATATAGCCTCTGTATGTCTTCTGATATTTTATTCTTTTCTCCTGTACTGTATGTATAGCATAGTCAAGTTTGGTGGTTCTTAATCCTACACATACATTAGAATCACATGGAAAGCTTTTTAAAAATAAAATTTACGCCTTGGGACCACCACATGCTATTAATAATTGAATATCAATCTAAGGATGAAGCACAGGCATCAATTTGGAGGGCTTTTTTTGAAGTGGAGAGAAGTAGCTCCTTATTCTGGTTATCTATTGTTACAAATCCAACCACCACCCCCAAGATTAATTTGTGTAAAACAGTGTACATTTTATTATACCCCCAAATTCGGTGGGCCAAATTCTGACAGGCACAGCACTAATAGTGTGTCTCTGCTATATGACGTCTGTGGTCTTGGCTGGGACAACTAAAATGGCTGGAGATGTCTTCAAAGAGCTGGGGGCTGCAGTTATCTGGAAGCTTCTTTAATGACATTTCTGCTGCTTAGGTTGGCGTAATGCAGAGACCCTGCTCAGCGAGAGCTATCAGCCAGGTATGCCTTTCCAGATAGCCTGGGCGTTCTCAAAGCACAGCGGCTCCTGGTGGTCACACTTTCCATATGGAAGCTCAGGACTCCAGGAGCAAATATTCCACTGGAAAAGGTGGAATTGCAAGGCCTTTTATGCTCGGAACCACAGACAGTACATTGTGTTACTTCTGCCTCATTTTCCTCATTGAAGCAGTCACAGTCTTTCAGATCCAAGGGTAGGGAACCAACTCTCCATAAGAAGAGTGTCCATGAATTTGTAGCTACATTTTAAAGTTGCCATATAACTCAGGTGATTCCAACTCAGGTGATTCTTGCTGCCCTCGACTGGCATGAATCTGAGAGTGACTGTGCTTAACTCTGTATTCGTTTTTGTTTGTTTGTTTGTTTGTTTTTTTGCAAGGTACTGATCTACAGAGCAGGGCTGGGACTTGGGTGAGGTGAAGGAGACACATGGTGCAAAATTTAAGAAGCCAGTTACTCTCAGGATCATGCCAGTCCAGGCAGCATGAGAGGGAGTACACCTCCTTACATTTTGTGCCCAATGTGCCTCATTTGCTTCACCCTAGCCCTGGCCCTGTCGCAGAGCAACTGTGTATGAATCGGTGGGGCGAGGGGCTAGGTAAGATTCCTGGGCTAGCTAGTAGTTTAATGCAGAGTTCATAGCACTATCTTTGTCAATAGCACTACCACATGTAAGCCTCAGAACACTTCGAGGTGTGTGTCGTGACCATTTTACTGATGAGGAGAATTGAGGCTTAAAGGATTTCATAACTTACTAGATCACAAGATAGCAAAGTAACTAAGGCGGGTTTGGAACTCAGGTCACCAAATGGCTTCATCCCTACCTGCAACCAGTCGCTCCTTTCTCTGTGGTATCCCGCGAACCCACCCGCCTTTGGGGACAGTGGGGCAGACAGGTTCTCTTGGACCAAAAGCAAAGTAGGCAAACCCTCTTGGAATCCCTCTCTATTCATGGTTTCCACCTCGAGGTGAGCCTGGACTGGGGGCGTCCTTCGCGCTTTGGCTGCTCAGGACAGAAGCCATCTGTCCCCCTCTCCGTGGGGACCCCCGCCCCGCTCCCTGCTGGTGGGGCAGTCTCGGGTGGGGCAGGGGCCCCGGCTGTGTCCGGGCGGCGGCCAATGGCGGTGCCCGGGGGCAGAGCCCGCTCCCCGCGAGGGGCGCCGTTGCTAAGAGCAGCGATGAGCCCGAGCCGGGCGCCGTCAGCCCAGGGAAGGGGGAGGCGAGAGTTGGAGCGCGTGGGAGCGCGGAGGCCGGCGAGAGGGAGGGGAGACCCGGCGCAGGGACGGCGGAGGGAGGCGCGCGAGGGAGCCGGCACACTCGGATCGCGAGCCCGGGAGGCGGCGGCGCCGAGAGGCAGCAGCTGCGGCCGCGCCCTTGCGCCCAGCCCCGCTGCGCCCTTGCCCGAGCCCGTGCGCCCAGCCCCGCGCGCCCTTGCCCGAGCCCGTGCGCCCAGCCCCGCTGCGCCCGCGGCCGGCAGCGCTCCCGAGCATGGAAGATTCCCGGGAGACGTCGCCGTCCTCCAACAACTCCTCGCAAGAGCTCAGCTCTGCCCTGCAGCTGTCCAAGGGCATGTCGATCTTCCTCGACGTAAGTAGGGATGGCAGAGCGAGGCTGGCGCTCCCCCAGCGCCTCTCCTCTTCCCGGGAGGGCGGAAGGGGTTTGGCTCCGGCGCTGACCAGCCGGCGTTTGGCCCCCAGAGCACGGGTGACAACTGCCTCCTTCCTCTCCAGAAAACCTCGGAGGCGCCACCGAGGCAAATGCAAGAGGAACGACTGCCACTTAACTTGTATAAAGGGCCGTCCCAGACCTGCAGCCCGGGGCTTAACAAGCCTTCATGAAATTCCAAAAGTTAGATTTCCCAGGAGCCTGGGTTTGATAAAGACGGGATTGCAAATACAGCAGTTTCCATTTGGGTGAATGGGGCCTTTGAAAGAGGTATAAGGTGTGAGGTGGGGTAGACTGTCCCAACCCCTCTCTCATGTGCCCTATTTGCAGGCAACCAAGGGGAGCAGTATAGGCTGCGAGGCTCACTAGCCTCCCCCAGCCCTTGGGAAAACAATTACATTGTACACATTTGTTTTTCCCTTTACAGCCTGGCTAAGATCTCTTTCATGATAATTCTTTTTTCACTGCCACCTCCTATTTTTCCTTTTTTTCTGCCCTGTTACTCTTCTTCCTTGCACCTCTCCAAGTCGTAATTACTGTTATCTTCATGAATTCTAGCTTTCAACTGTGTTTCCTTTGGTCCTATCCTTCGTTTTGGTGTTGACTTCCTTTCTCCATTTCATCTTTCTTTTCCTTCTGTGCCATTTTACTGCCCTAGTGCTGTGGTTTCTCTCTTTAAAGCAGTTTTATTTCTTATTTATTTCTCAATTTTGCTTTCCTTCCTCTTCCTGCTGTTTCTGTTCTCTGTATTTTTCACCCTGTCGCCCAGCTCTTTTCTCTGCCTTTGGGTTTCGTGTTTTTCCTCTCTCTCAGTTGCCTGCGGTTGTCACATTCATGCTGTCCCCCCTGAGAGGTCGTGTCTGGCTCAGTGGGGACAATTCTGGCAGCTTCTTAGTTAGGCATTATAGAAAATGACAGAGGGCGATGAGGAGTGCCGTGGGCTCTGTCCTCTACCCTTCTCTGAGTTATAATTTCTTATTAAAACCAAAGTGAGTGGGAAGTGGGCCAGAGGCCAGATACATTTGTTTGTGGATAAATGAAAATATGAGAAAATCAAATGATTAGTATCATAATGGTGAGGTAGATGTGAAGGTAATGGGGGAGGGCAAGGAACCCTCCCAAGTTTATTTTTAATGGATTAGCCAGACTGTTTGTGATTGGGAGAGAAATTCCTATTATTAATTACAACTGGCCTAAGACAAACAATAGAGATGAGGTTCCACTATATGTTAGGGCAGCTGTCTCTCTTCATTACCATGTGGTTCCAATCGGGGATCCAGGCATTCTGGGCTCACCTAGTCTTCTTGCCACCAAAACCCAAACATCTGATTCCCATTCAGCCACTCAGGGATTGTTAAGTACCTTGTTCTTCCTGAGCACTTACCTCTGTTGGGCTTGGGTCAATCAGGTGATGTTACTGGTGCTAATGGTTTAGCTAGATTCCTTTCAAGTCCTGCTGTTCAGGGCTATGAAGCCCTCAAGGAACTGAGCTGGGAGAGGAGGGAGGCACCACATACACCTGAGAAGGAAATTCTCAGGAGCAGGAGATAGGGCCCCGGGAAATCATGTCGGTTACCAGGCTAAGCACCAAGCTGCCATGAAATTGATTCAGAGAGAGCAAATGGGGTCTCCATTCATTCTACCCAATCTTCATTTGTCCTCCAATAACATCAAGCATTTCCCTGTGCTTGTTTCTAAGCAGTTAACAAATCCTGGTGATAGTGTGGAGATGAATGGATTAACACTATATAATGGAAAGTCATCCTTCCTACACGCCAACCTTGGCTCAAGTGTTCAACTGCAATTTTTTTTTTTAAACCAGGAAATTAAAATTTCTTATTGTATGGGCAAGATTGTTCCCAAGTCTGTAAACAGCATCAGGTCCCTGTCCTGAAGGAACTTGTAGCCTATGAATTGGGCACTCTTGCCTTTTTATATCTATATCTAGAATTTAAAAATATAAAACTGATTCCACATGAGAGGTGTTGGCATGCTTGTCAGTAAAATGCTAGAGTCTACAAAAACCAAAACCAAAAACTGCCATTGGATTTGTCTCAAATAGAAAAGATTTTGTTTATACTTTTCTTTGAGTTATTTTGTGAAAAATCTAACACTCTGGTGAAATACGTAACATGAAAAAGGATTTATTACTTAGGGATTTTTTGAATTATTCATTTCTTGATCATAATGCCTTTAGCAAACTAAACTGTGAAATATAAATGCATTATTTTATTTGATTAGATTTAATATATTCTAGTATCCCTGATGAAAAGGATTGCTATTCAAATTCCCTTCATATTATAACAAATAGGTGGTAGATTCCAAACCGGAGCAGAAATGAAAGCAATCGGAGGCTTCTGCATTACAGACTAATTTCCAAATTTGAGGAAAACTTTGATTTCCAGTGTTTTTATACTCCAATGTCACTGGCATAATCAGTCCTTTAAGAAATTGTTTAAACAGCTTTTGAAAATACTCTTAATGATGTGATAGACATGCCCAGCTGGTTAGAAACTAGAGATAAATGTTTAACAAGAAAAGCAAGGAAAGATTTATCACAACTGTTGGCTCTTGCTTCATTATCCTTCTCTTCAAATCGACAATAATCATGAGTATGATACTTCCCAGGGTTGCTCTGATTATGAGATAAGAGGTCACAAGTTAGAAAACTGCATTTGCGTAGGGCGCACCTGCCAGCCATGAAAGAGGGGCTGAACTGGGTCCAGTATGCAGCAACACAGAGGACCAGAAGGATGACAATCACCTTTCCTTTTACGCCAGGGTACTACTGTTTCCCAGTTTTCTGCATTCCAGATAACAGAGAATGAACTCTAATTTAGAATACTAGTCCCTGTAGCATGCGTACCCTGCTTTGAGTCATTACATTTAATCAACTCTCTTACTGTGCAAAAGGAAACAAACGTTCAGCTCATCCCCCAAAAGCAAGGGAAGTCCCAAATGAAATTAGTTGCAACTCCATTCACCGATGCCACTTTTCTCTCTCAATGGTTTTCCTTTGATTTTTAACTGGAAGGGAAGTGACCCTTCCACATGCCACTGCTGGAATGGGAGTAAGGCTGGAAGGTTGCAAAGGAGAGAGATGATTTTGCTGTTTGTTTTCTCTCCCCTCCCCCACCTGGGCCTGCACACTCACGATGTCCTGAACGCGAGGCACTGTGCCTTGAGGGTCCAGGACTTGGTGAAAACAAGGAATAGTTTCTCCTCTTGAGGATTCCTAATTCCAAAGCCCTGTATGTGCTCATTTGTATGAGAGGTGAGATGGACAGAGGACGGTCAAAACAGTTTGCCAGATATGATGGTTCTATGACTGAACTGTTAGAGGCACACACCAGATCCTATCTGATCTGGTCACACGTACACAGTTGCTTATCTGAGTGGGGTGGTCCAGTTGGAAGGATGGCAGTTAACCCCATCATTGTCTGCCCTAATGGGCAAAGCAAATGTCACTCATTACAGGAACCAGCAGATATTAGAAACACTTAGTTTTACTGTTATCATACATTAAAAATTGTTTACTCCCACAGGGCTGAGTGCTAATTACCTTCTTTCCATCCATCTTTCAGTACCCTCTTCCCTATATCCTATCGCAGGGCAACAAGTAAAACTACCTGCTGGGTGTCCAGGCCCACACGCCATGACTCACCTGCTGCGTCTTCCCTTCTGGATGGTGCACCATGTTCTGGATGAGTCCTGACTCAGTGTCTTGTATCCTAATTTCTCAGGAGTCCACCAAGTGACTGACTAGCTCCTCTCATTATCAGGCTTTAACCTGCTCCGTGGCAGAAGCAGTTAGTTCAGTAAATGGTGATTACATTATTGTATTATGCTTCCAAGATAACATTTGCACTTTAACACCTGCCTTTCATAACTTAACAGTGAGGAATGAAGAATTCCAGTCAAGGCCATCAAAGAATATCTTTCAAAGTAAAGGAATCTATTTGAAAATCCTTAAATTGTAGCAAGAACACAGTGTTACCTGTAATTAAACGCGAAGCCTAACCATAATTATTAAATTTATTTACTATCTGTCTAGTGATAGCAGCCATAAGATTAGCTGACCCAGATGATTGTGGTAACGTAACATAATAAACTTGATTCTCATCCAAAGTATGTTTTTTATTAGTCTGGAAGCTCAGAGGCAGAGTTCGTAGCAGAGACAGTTCTGTTCATATTTAATTACAAAGAACTGTGTTAATAACAAAATCTTGTCTTAATTTAATAACAAAATATTGTCTTAATTTCATCTCTAAGAGGCTGAATGATAGCTAAGATTATTCTGTATGAAATAAAATGACAGAAGTCCCGGGTCTAACTCTGTGGTCTGTGGTTATTCCTATTCTAGTCACTTCCAACTTGTGAGCACACAATAGAGCTCGAAATTGAATCTTAGAGTATATCAAAGGTAAGAAATAGGATGTGTTTTGTATCTCCCTGGCTCTTAGCTGGGGCTTCATGGTTTCAGAGGAGAGGAAGAAGCTGGTTGTGATAGAAGGATCCCCGAAATCCTCACTAGCAAGTACCTCTATGGAGTAAAAAGAATTTGGGTCTCATTCTGCTCTAAGCATAGCTCTTACTATTGAATGCAGCCCTCTTGTAATAATTAAATCAATTTAGTAAAAAGGAAGACTGACTTCTTATACACAGAGGGCAGGGTAATATGAATCTGTTGCTGAAAAAGTTTCATGGGTAAGATTTTTAGTAATATGAGGATCTTATAATAAAACACATTGTAGTAATGATTAGATTTATCTATGCCTCATTTCTGTGAAATCTAAAGAAGGAAATGAGGATAGTTTCTATAGTAGAAAGCAGTAAAACACACAACTTGGGAATAAAAACGATTGCTCATGTTTCAGGCTGGCCAGCAAGAAGTGACGAGCTAAATATAAGAATAGCTCTGGTTATTCAACTACAAGTTACTCAGAAAAAACTGCAAGTTACTCAAGGGCCCCTTCTAAGTAATTGAAGTTTGTCATTGCAATGTGGTAGAACAACATTTTCTTTGGTTATTTAACATAACAAATTTGGATAATAGTACATATTATCCAGATTGTTTTGCTATCAGTAACGTTTCAGGATTAATGCAATTGTAGTTTACAAAAAAAAAGAAAACCAAACTGTCTTAAGATTTAAAAAAATAATTACTGACTTCTGTAATGAAAAGCAGAGATCACGTTATTGGTGTGGCTTGATTAGGGACTCAAAGAGTGTCATCAGGATCCAGTTTCTTAAAGTCTCTGAACACTACTGTCCTGGGTATTGGTTCTTCCCAGGTAATATATTGTATTAATTTCCTAGGGCTGCCGTAACAAAGTACCACATACTCAGTGGCTTAAACATCAGAATTTACTCTCTCTCAGTTCTGGAGGTTAGGAGGGTGAGATCAAGGTGTTGGAAGGATGATCCTCCTCTGAAGGCTCCAGAGGGAGCTATTTCAAGCCTCTATTTTTTTTTTTTTTTTTAGACAGAGTCTTGCTCTGTCACCTGGACTGGAGTGCCATGGCATCAGCCTAGCTCACAGCAACCTCAGATTCCTGGGCTCAAGCAATCCTCCTGCTTCAGCCTCCCCAGTAGCTGGGACTACAGGTGCATACCACCACACCCAGCTAATTTTTTCTACTTTTAGTTGAGGGGTGGGGGTCTCACTCTTGCTGAGGCTGGTCTCGAACTCCTGAGCTCAAGCAATCCTCCTGCCTCGGCCTCCCAGAGCATTAGGATTACAGTTGTGAGCCACGGCACCTGTCTCTCCCTCAAGCCTCTTTCCTTGCTTCTGATGGTGGCTGTCAGTCCTTGGCATTCCTTGCCTTTCAGCTGCACCACTCCAATACCCGCCTCTTTCATCATATGGCCTCAACCTTCTCTCTCTGCATCTCTGAATTTCTCCTTATAATGTCACCAGACATTGGGTTTAGGTAACACCCCAATCTAGTAATCCTTCATCTTAATTTGATTATATCAACAAAGACCCCATTTCCAAATAAGATCACATTTACAGGTACTGAGGGTTAGGACTTTAGCATTCGTTTCTGGAGGAAACAATCCAACTCATAATGTATCTAATAACAAAATGGCTGATAGCAGTCCCTTGCCTGTATCTTCCCAGATTCAAAGCCAGCAGAAAGGAAAGTGTCTCTCTCTCAACCTCTCAAAACCATGTCCTCTCATTCACTGGCCCTAATGTACTCATGCCTGAGCAGTCACCATAGCCAAAAGGATGTGACGCCCTATTTGCCAGACCTGAGGGCTCTGCCCAACCCTGGGGCACGTGGGCCAAGAGAGGAGGAAAGCTTGGTTTCCTAGAAAAAACACTGGCAATCACACTAGATACCAGATGGCCAAACATTTCCTATATGCCAAAGACAATTTAAAATAGGTCTAAGATAATATTATCAATGCATACAAGTAGGACATAGTAGAGACATGTGGGCTTCTATCAACTGATAATTTTTCTTTTGTTGATTCTCAGTTTTGTTGACGTGTGATTAACTCACATTAAAGTGTATATATTTAAAGTGTAAATTTGATGTGTTTTGACATATGTGACACTATTACCATGATCAAGATAATAGGTATCTCTGTCACCTACAAAAGTTTTCTCACTCCCTATTATAATCCACCTTTCCCTGTCCTGCTCAATCCGAGGCAACTCTTAATCTGGTTTCTGTCACTATAGGTTAGTTTGCATTTTTTAGAATTTTATGTGATTGGAATACACAGTAGATCTTCTTTTGTATCTAGACTTTCCACTCAGTCTTGTTATTTCGAGATCTATACAAGATGTCGTAGGTGTCAATAGCTCATTCTTTTTTATTGCTCAGTAGCATTCCATTGTATGGCTGTATCACAGTTTGTTTATCCATTCACCTGTTGATGGACATTTGGGTTGTTTTCAGGTTTTGGCTGTCATAAAGAAAAATCTCAGTTGGAAACCTTTACTTAAAATTGGAATTCTGGCTGGGCCAGGCACCGGGACTCACGCCTGTAATCCTAGCACTCTGGGAGGCCGAGGCGGGCGGATTGCTCAAGGTCAGGAGTTCAAAACCAGCCTGAGCAAGAGCAAGACCCCATCTCTACTAAAAATAAAAAATTAGTTGGCCAACTAAAAATATATAGAAAAAATTAGCCAGGCGTGGTGGCACATGCCTGTAGTCCCAGCTACTCAGAAGGCTGAGGCAGAAGGATCTCTTGAGCCCAGGAGTTTGAGGTTGCTGTGAGCTAGGCTGATGCCGCAGCACTCTAGCCCAGGCAATAGAATGAGAGTCTGCCTCAAAAATAAATAAATAAATAAATAAAATAAAATAAAATTGGAATTTCTTTAATGGATGAATTATGTGTAAGGGTAATGTTCACTATAATATTAAAAATAGTGATAAAATTTTTCCTTTTTTCTTTCAGATACTGAGAAGAGCAGACAAAAATGGTAAGATGAAAAATCTATAGTTTCTATTTGTTAATATCTTACATTTTAGATCACCTTATAAAGAATAATAAAGGAGAAAGGGAGAGCCCTAGAAAATTGACATATAAAATGCCAGTATCTTGTATTAGTAATAGTTTTAGGCAAATTTTAGGCTCCAGATAGTCATAAGAAGTTGGCAGAGGGATTCACATTTGACAGATATTTATGCCTTGAAAGTGGGGAGCTCTGTTGTACTTTGGCTCTGGCTTTTCTCTTTTATGCTTTAAAAAAATAATTTTACAGCAATAACAGCTTCTATTGAGTGTCTACTGTGTGCTAGGCATTGGGCCATGTGCTTTGAGTACATTATGTCTTAGAATTATTAAGCTACAAAGCTGGGGCTTGATCCCATGTCTGTTTGCCATCAAAGTTTAGGCTGTCCATGCTGAGTTTTATCACAGCCTTGGAGATGCTCCTGCGCTCTAGGATGATTGCCTGGAAATCTGCATTGGCAGCCTCATCCCTACCACGTCGTTTCTGGCCATTAGTCTGCCATTTGAACTGTGTTCACTGGGATAAACTATAGAGACAGAGAAGTAGGAGATGGCAAATCAGAAGTAAAAAATTGCTCTTTCAATTTAACAATACCTGCACAAAGTCCATTTATAAGATGTCATAAGCATCAAAAGCATACGCATTTTGATTCATTTATTTCATTAGGAATTTTGTCTCATAGAATACCAACCCAGACCTTATTAAGTTTATTCTTCAGCTATAGTATAAGTACTATGGCAGAGATTGGGATTCTTGACAAGAATTTCTTGACAAATTCAGTATACAAAGGGTCCTTTCCCTTTCTTGAAATCCCATTTCTTACCTGTGGGGAGAGATTACAATCAGAGTCCAGATCTGACACTTTAAAGACATGTGTTGTAGTCTAGTTTGCCCTTAAGCAGCCAGATGAAGAAAAGCTTGAATGACACTGAACACCTTAGCACACAACAGAAAAGATATTCAGCCATGGAGCAATGAAACAGTGTCCCAAGTCCCAATAATATTTTACTATGCCTCACCATAAAAATATTTTCTCAAATTGTATCTTAGTTATTGATATATTAACAATTCAAAGGTGCTTTTTACCCCACTTGAAGCATTTGATTACTCTCTAAGACAGAATAATGGCACCGTCATCTTGTCTTCTCATGCTGTCCTTTGACCGTCTGTCAAATATCCAGCCCCAGCGATGGCTAGAGTATGACTGTATCGCCCGTCTGTCTCTGTGCCACCTGCCTCGTATTTCAGCAGCTGTCTCCAGCTCAGAAAAGCCTTTGCTCCCTCTCCACCCACGTTTCTGCTTCTCTCAGGCTGCCCTGCCCAAGGCTCTGATTAAGGGCCACCCTTACCTTTGTATCTGTGACTCTTCTTTTCATCAAGATTATCATAATCCACAGTCATCATAAAAAGCACCAGACAAACCAATTCACGTGACTTGATGGTTTATGATAACCTCACATGTCATGCTACACAGAGTGGCCTCTTGTGCTGGCAGCCCCGTGTCCCATATCTCTTTCCCCCCCTTATCCCCCTCCCCCAGGCAACACCTCTTCCCTCCTTGCTCCCTTTCCTAATGTCTGCCCCTAACATGCTGTCAGAGTACCCATCCTTCTGCTCCTGTCTCTCCCAGTCTTCCCCATGCATCCTCCTCTGCAGCCACGGATATACTCAATTCCCCGAGCATCCCTCCGTCTGCCCCACCTCTGCGATGTTGCCTTGCTTTGACTTCTGCCTGCTACAACTATCCACCCTTAGTCAGCCTGAGAACACTCACACTTTCCTCACGTTCCTGCTCAAAAGCCACCTTATCTGGGAGGCCTGCCTCAGTTCCCTTGGCAGGGCCCCACCCTCACTGTCTGTGCTATCGACACACTTTGGCACATATTGATCATTGCCCTTAAGGTGGAGACTGCAGTTGTTTGCTGGAGATTGTATTTCTCTAAGCAAAACATGCCTCTCTAGGGCAAGGAACTTGTCTTATGAGTGGACACTATACCCAGGCAGTAATAGGTGGCCAGTAATGTTTGTTGAATGAATTAAGAAGAAAATGTGGCAATGTATACACCAGTGGTCCCCAACCTTTTTGGCACCGGGGACTGGTTTTATAGAAGACGATTTTTCCACGGACGGGGGCAGGGGACATGCGTGGGGTGGGGAAGGTTATGCTTAGGCGGTGATGCAGGTGATCAGGAGGGGAGCGGCTGTAAATACAGTGGAAGCTTTGTTTGCTTGTCTGTGCTCACCCCCTCCTGTGCCCCGCCCATTTTCTAAGTTTCATGGAAGACAATTTTTCCATGGATGGGGGTGGGGGCAGTGGAGCTCTGCTGCCCAGTCCATAACAGGCTGGTACTGGTCCACAACCTGGGGGTTGGGCACCACAAAATATGCTATGAAATACTATTCAGCCTTAAACATGGAAGAAATTCTGTCATTTGTGACAACATGGATGGAATTGGAGAATATTATGCTAAGTGAAAATAAGCCAAACACAGAATGATAAATAACACATGTTCTCACTTATATGTGGAATCTAAAACAATTGCCCTCATAGACGCAGAGAGTACAATGGTAGTTACAGAGGCAGTGGGGTGAGGGGAATAGGGAGATGATAGTTAAAGGGTACAAAGCCTCAGGAGGAATGTTTGATTTTTTTTAGGTCAGTTGTCCAGCATGGTGACTATAGCTAATAATCGAGTTCTGTACATGTCAATATCACCAAGACAGTAAATTTCTAATGTGCTTATCATGAAGAAATCTTAAATATTTGAAGTGGTGGATATGCTGATTAGCTTAATTTAATATTTTCCACATTGTATTAAAAATCATAATACTCTGCACCCCATAAATACATATAACTATAATTTGTCAACATATAATGGAAATTAAAAAAAAATAATTAAGGACGTTTCGCTCCATTATCCCTCTCCCTTCTCCCTGTCCACTCTTTCCCCCTCCTTTCATCCCACCTTACTCTTCTCCCTGATTCTCGGTGTAACGTGGAGGGGAGGCAGAGTCAGGGAGGTTTGGGTTTAAATCACAGGTGTGCTATGCGTAACCTTGTAATGACGTGTATGTATGTCATGGGGTTGTGATAAACAATAAATGAGATACTATATGTAAAGTCTCCAGGGCAGTGCCTAGCATGTAGTAAGAACTTAATGCTTGTTCACTTTGCTGCTGTTATTGTGATTAAGATCACTTTTGCAATTGAAAGCTCGAGTTGTTTTTGTGCTGTGATGCCTTGGCTAACTGAGACTCCGGGTGATATTTCAGTTATTTGTATTGCAGTGGAGTTTGTTAGAACAGAAAAACAAGGCTATTTACCATACATGCAGCATTGAAAAGGGAAAAGGATAGCAGACCATCTAATGTAAATGAGAAGGTACTAACATAAAAATAACTATCTTTCTGTACCATGTGTTCATCACATTCTGTATTTGCAAATAAACAGCTGCTACATGTATTTGAGCTCTTGGTAACAGACCCTCATGTGACAGAATCCCTTATGGACAGCATAATTGGGGACAGAATAATGCAAGGAATAAGAGGCAATAAGCAGGATAATAGTTATCCTGCCAGAGGACAGATTTAGCTTTTGGATTCTGACATCAGAAAGAAGCTGCTGTGGATAAATGGGAAAAAATACATAATTAGTGATTAGCTATAATAATGGTGTCTTGAAAAGATTTTTTTTTTTGGTTGGTCGTTGTTTTAAAATCACAGGCTAGGATCCTAGACATAAAGATAGACCTCAAAATAGGATTGCTTGGGAGAGACACTAGTGCTTTGATCCAGAGAGCCCAGAATTAAACTTAGAAATGCAAAACTTCTGGGAAAGCTCACTTACATGCAGCTTTAATGAAAATGGAAGTGACACATGGGTATCTGAAAAATTTGCAATAATTTTTTTTAATTTAAATATCTTTTATTTTAAAATATTTTCTTGACAAATAAAGGTTGAATATATTTAAAGCATACAATGTGATGATAAGACATACTATACATCGTGCAATGATTACCACAATCAAATTAATTAAAATATTCATCCCCACCCATTCTGTATATGAGATCCCTAGAACTTGTTCATCTTATAATTGAAAGTTTGTACTATTGACCAATATCTCCCCATTTCCTCCACCCCCCCCCACACACACACCCATGGCCACCACTATTCTGTTGTTCTCTATGAGTTCAATTTTTTCAGATTCCACATATAAGTGAGATCATACAGTATTTATCTTTCTGTGTTTGGGCATAAAGATTTCTAAAGTCTTAGTAAGAAGCAAAATGGACAGGCTCATAGTAGTAAATCACACCATCCGATGCCTCTTGCTGATTTGCACGAGCTAACATCCACTGTCATTCTTGATCAGCATGTAGGTAAGCTATGTGGATGGTGCTTTTGACTCCTGTTTAATGACTGGTCTCTCTAAGTTCTCCTCAAGCCTTTAATTCAGTCTAGCAACCTGTACATTGTAAATTTGTGAGGGCAGAGACTGTTCCCATTTCACATACTACCAGATCCGCAGAGGTGAACAAAATGCCTGCACAACACAGCTCAATAAATATTTGTGAATCTGTTGGAAGGAAGTGCATAACCAACAAGCTGACTTTAAAAACTGAAGAATAAACACAATCATAATCATATACATCTTAACCAAGCGCTGTTGCTATTTATGTTGTTTATTAATAAAATTGGCTAAAATTTATGGAGGATATATTATGGGCTAGGTCCTACCCTAGATGCTTTATGTACATTGTTTTCAATCATTATGAAAAGTCTACAGAATAAACAGTTTAGAACAGTAGTAAAGACATAGGCTTTGAGGTCAAACAAGCTCATGTCCCAGCTCTGCCTCTTTCTAGCCTTATGACCTTGAGCAAGTCACTCAACTCCCTCATGCCTCAGTTTCCTCATCTGGGAAAGGAGGATAATAAAGTCGCTTCTTCCATGAAGCGACTCTTTC